ATGCAATGCATGCCACTAGTTTCTCCTGTATGGAGAAACTAGTGGCATGCATTGCATTGAACACATACTTTTTTTCCCCTGTGCCATTCCACATTATTACAAATAACTTCATTTCTGGACATTTATGGTTTGATTTCTTTGTATGTATGGATCACTTGGGTTGTTACCAACATCTGGTGAAAATTTCATGTCATTAACACCTCTAGTAATATATTTACTGAGAAAAATGGTGACGTGTTCAATACTTATTTTACCCGCTGTAAAAGTGAAACAGTGCTCTCCATTATCACTGTTAAATCCCCCCCGCAAAAAAATGGTTATCCAACATTTTGTAAACTGTAAAATCTGATTTGGTGTAAATTCACACTATTCTTTCTTACTTGTTCAATTGCAGTGTTAAACCTGATACTTAAAGAAATAGGGGTCTCTGTGAAAAGGTTATGAATAAAAATATTTTATCTGTTGTATCTGTCCATTTGGAGAGAGACAGGACAGATGAGCTAACAGGTCCTCTGAGTGGACCTAAGATCAATGTGGACGGTTGTTTTTAAAAGTGCTCCATTTTCCAAGATTTCACAGCAATTCATGAGAACAGTATTTTTAAAATGTTTACACTGCTGCCAACTTTGTATTACTCTTGCAGAAATATATAGTATTTCTGGTGGAATTTCCCCAGGCTTCACCAAATGTGGTAGCTGCTGCTGAGTCCCCGACATAAGCTCACAAGACAAAAAGTCAAGAAAAAAGTTCACAAAATGTGAGCTCACACCCTCAATGACAATAAATAAATAAATAAATAAATAAATAAATAAATAAATAAATAAAAGACAAAAGTTCACAAATTATGCATTTTTTTTTATTAAACCCACATTGCGTCACTGTAAACGTGCATAAGATTTAAATCACAAAGTATTATCATACCCATATCATATTGTAAATTATGCACAAACAACAGTCAAATTAAAAATATTAATTGAGTATTTTATCCCAAACTGCAATACACACTCCAGTCAGGTCTCTGTGTACCTTTTGGTCATTCAATTTTCATTTTAAAGAGGACCTATTATGGTTCCTTGAACAAGTTAGGGTACATCTGTAGCTACAAATCAGGTTCATTAGATTTAAAACACAATCATTTTCAGATAATGATGTTTTTATTTATTTATTTATTTGTTCRGCTCTCAGAGGAGTAAGATGCTTTTTCCTTCTCTCCTGCCCTTCCTTATCTTCCCTGATTCGCTGCTTGGAGCCTTCTCTATGTTTTCATCCGAAACCAGAAATTATGGATATTTTTATTTTTTATGGATTTGGTTAGCTGGTCTCTTAATAAATTTTTGGAACAATGTTTTTTCTTCCATGGGAGGACATGTCAAAGATGGGACTTCTGTTCTGCTCTGTTCTAGATATATATCTGGATTCTGATCACTGGATTGTACAGATTGGTTTGGTGGTCTTAGTGTTGACTGGGAGGGTTATGGTCCTGAGGATCGTCAATGGGTGCCCCGTTCTTTTATCTTTGACCCTTTGCTCATCTCGGATTATCAATCCTCTCTTCCGTCTACATCTTTTGGGCCAACAGCGAGAACAGCTGACCAACCATGAGAGGTAAATGTTCGCTACGTCAGAACTTATTCGGCAAATGTGTTTCCATCACTCCTTTCGCGCATTAACTCTTTTTCGAAAAAAAACAAAAACCACCTCAAGCGAGCGTGTCAACTTTTTTGCAAATTAGAAGAAGGTTTTTTGAATCATGCCGCATCCATTCACCTTTTCTGACACYATACTTCAAATTGCACATTAAAAAACGTTGATGGAAACACAGCTAGAGGAGAGGAAAAACTCCCCTTTAACAGGAAGTAACCTCCAGCAGAACCAGAGTCAGGACAGGAAGACATCTGCCTCAATCAGCTGGGTTTGAGGGACAAGAGACGGACACAAACAAACACAGGAATGGTCCAGGTGTATTTTCTTCTGGAAGAGAGACAAAGAAAACATGTTATTGATGGAAATAATTGCAACAAATTTAGGTTGAAAATTAAGAGTCATCCATGTTTTTATGTCGTTAAGACATGCTTGTAGTTTAAGTAACTGATTAGATTCATCAGGTTTCATGGATAAATATAACTGAGTATCATCAGCATAACAATGGAAATTTATCCCATGCTGTTRAATAYCMTTACCTAATGGAAGCATATATAAAGTAAAGAGAATTGGTCCAAGCACTGAACCCTGAGGAACTCCATAACTAACTTTAGTGTAAGAAGAAGATTCATTATTAACATAAAAACTGCAATCTGTCAAAAATAAATCTGACCAAAAAAATCTGTGAGTTCAGATAAAAACTGAGAATAAGGGCCTGGAGGACGATAAATAACAACAAATAACAGTGGTTTTTCTGATTTCCATTTTGGATGAGAAAGACTGAGGGACAAAGACTCAAAAGAATTATAACTAATATTTGATTTAGCATTAATTAATAATTCTGACTTATAAACCGCAGCTTCTCCTCCTCGACCTGTAGTTCTAGAAACATGAAAATTTAAATAATTAGCAGGAGTGGATTCATTTATGCTAACAAACTCCTCCTGTGGTAACCAGGTTTCAGTAAGACAGAACAAATCAATATGATGATCACCAAATCATTAACTAACAGAGACTTAGAGGAAAGAGATCTGATGTTCAATAATCCACAAATAATAGTTTTATTTTGTTCTGGTAACGTAACTGTTTATTTTTATGATTTATTTTTCTAGATGTTTACAAACTCTATAGATTTTTGAATCTTTTTAAGTGGCACTACCATTTCTTTAAAGTTTTAGTTTGTCTTTTCCTGAATGTGTCACACATTTGTGTTTATTTTGCAGATCACTGAGAGGTCCAAGAAAGGGAATAATGTCACTCAGTGTGATTTGCCCYCTCCAGTCAGCCTCAACTCTTTGTTTGCTTTTGTTTCTCCACCATGTAAGTCACCCTACCACAGGGGGGAAAAATCTATAGTTAGAAAATGTCTTTATATTTTGCTTTTTTTTCAGTGCTTACCATGAACAGTTGGCATGTTGTTTATTAAGCAGTAGGAAAGTATTTTGGTAAAAAACAAAGATCTCCAGGTGAACAGAGCTGCAGGGGATCCTGCTGTTGTCTCCATGATGCATCATGCAGCTGCACAAATGACTCCTGGCAATCCGATAGTGTATTTAAAAAGCTGCACAAATGACTCCTGGCAATCCGATAGTGTATTTAAAAAGCTGCAACATGTGTCAGAATAAATATTCCTGTGGAGCTGAAGGACAGGGGCAAATATTTTTACAAGTGTGCTTTCTTGTACATATCTGTAGGCATTAAAGACATAGTATCTTTCTGCAGTGAGAAGAGAATGAGAAAATAAAGGCTGCAGGCACACATTATGAACATTTGTCTTCATAAGACCTGCAAGTAAAACTAAAACATCTAATATCAGACTGACTGCAGCTTTAAAGTATATATTTATATATTTTATCTAAAGGAAGCTCACCTTCTTTAAGTTACAAGCCCAGCCTCCTTTTGTGATGTAAATGTGTAGCAAGCTAAAAATAGCCTGTGGTGAAGAAAAGGAAGTGCTGAGACTGCATATTGTGCCATGAGAAATGTGCTGAACAGACTGACCGTGGGGAACAGGGCAAAGAAAAACAGTGAACCATTTTTAATTTTTTTGTTGGTTTTTCAGTGAGGTCACATTAGATGCCAAGTGTGTTGTGTGGGTGCAGCTTGTGCAGCAGCGCTGGCTCATTACAGGGATGGAAGTTGTGTCATTTTTAACTGCAGCAGAGCACTTCAGCTGACTGTTTGCTGCAGCTTTTTGTGTTCTGAWGTTCCTTCTGAGGAACCCACAGCACAACTGTTATCACTGATCAGAAGAATTGATATTTCAGCTGGTTGTTATTGCAGGAATTGTTGAACTGAGTMGAGTAATGTTAGCGCTGGACTGAAAAACTCTGCTTTATAACAGCAGTGACAGGATGGGAGGAAGGATTGTTCACGAGTCAATGCAAATGTCCCAGTCTGGAAGTTTAGGCGACAGGAGTAATTCCTCTACCAAAAAATATTTCTGTCCTTTCTGCTGTGCTGAATAACTTCTATTGGTCCAACATAAAATAACATCTCCATCTACAACCTCTGTGAACCATAAGCATGAGACAGAAAACCACGTAAATAGTCTTTAGCACTGCAATAGCCTATATGCCACGGACATCTGTCCAGCACGTGATGCCACTCCCAACACTTCCGGTTRGCGATCAACACAGTGTTAGCGAAAGATTTTTTCAGCCGACAACAACACTTAAAGAGTAACTCACCCCAAAATTAACTTTTTTTAGCTGATAAACTGTCTAGAATGTGTCTAAAATGTTATATAGTACTGTTTCTGTGCTGATTTTGATGTTTTTGTGCNTTTTCCCCACTGTATATTTGGGGGAGGGGCTGTGATGTATTGCTTCTTTATTGTCAAGACATCATTAGTTAATAGTCTATCAGCACTCAGCCCAGACCAGTGTGCTTTGAAGAGTTCACGGCACAGATAACTGTTGTAATGTGATTTCTTGCAGTTCTGGGCTCACACCTACACCATCTGAGAGTATTTCTGAAGAGAGGATTGATGTAGCTGGTAAGAAGTTGCACCGACAAAGTTTTTTAACAGGATGACTCAGAAAACTGCAAAATCATGAAACCATGAAAAAAAAGGCAGAATTCCTCCTCCAAATATACGTTGTGTGCTGAGGATTTATTTGTGTGTGTGTGTGCGTGCATTTTAGGAGGCTCCGCACAGAGAACAGTTGAGAATATCCAAGAAGTCCAAGAGGCAAATCAGACGGTGCAGCTGTTGGAGGAAAAACCATGGAGAAAACCTGGTACATGGTGTTTTTGAGCTAATAGCAGTATACTGTATGACACCTCTGTCAACATTTATATTTAGACTTATTTACAGCAATATTTTATTTGTAGGAATTGAAATCTCAGATTACTTCAACTATGGATTTGATGAAAATAGCTGGAGGGCGTATTGTTCAAAACAGTATCATCTTCAAACTTTGAATAGATGTCAAGGCACACAAGTCCTGGTAGGATAAATATATTACTGCCATGGTCACCTTTCCCTTTCAGAGATCACACAACTTCTTTAGATGTAAATAACTGTCATTTCTGTTTTTATTGTATTTGTCTGTGAAAATTTAAAAGAYAAGAATTTTGTAACTTGATTTCCCCTCAGGCCAAGAAGAAGCATCAGCAACATGGAAAACAAGTATCTTCTTGTGCTTCTTCTTCCTCTGCCAGACGATCCTGCAGGTTAGTGCCTCGTTCAGCTGATCTCCAAGCTGAAAGAGACACTGAAAGTATTGCTTTTATTTTTGACCCAAGTTAGTTACTTTTGTTTCTTTTCTATGGATTATACATTCAATTATTTTGGTCTTCTTTTTCCCAGCATACCTCTCACTGCTGTAAAACCTGCAGTTCTTTATTTCAAATCCCCCTAGAGTGCAGCGTGCACACATCCAAACACTCATTGACTTCCATTGTATCTGAGCTCAGACTTTTTTTAAAGTAGAAGTGAAGGGTGTTTTTTTTAAATTTCTCATATTTTCTTTTATAAAACACAGCAGATGCAGTCACGTCTCTCTGCTGTTAGCATCTCATGAGGATTCATGGAGGAAAAATAAGCAAAAACAAAATGGTGTCTTACATTTTAGCATCTTTTTTTGTGAAAATAAATCCTCATTACWTCATCACTCCCTGGAGGAAACCTCTTTATACATGGTAGGAAATAGCACACATGGCTCTGTCCTATTTCTGTGARGCTCGCTGCCTTCTGTCATCGGATCAGAACTTTTCCTGAACCACTTGTGGTTGACGAAGGTGCCCACTGGAAACCTGACTGCTTGTTCTGACTGACAGTTACAGCTTCCTCTCATTTTAAATGTTTTTCTTTTCAATGTAAGAAAATTAATTGCATTTTATCTGAACTTAGAAATAATTAAAATGTGTGTTCTTTAAAACTGGAATCAAATTAGAAGCTAAAAGCACTTCCTTAATGAGCTGCTATTACATTTACCTGCTTTTCTCCTGTTTTCTTCTTTCTCTCTTATGGAATTCTTGTGACAGAAAGAGGTTAGTGTCCTGTGTGTGTGTGTGTGTGTGTGTGTGTGTGTGTGTGTGTGTGTGTGTGTGTGTGTGTGTGTGTG